CGCGCCGAGGACTACCTCATCTTTTTTTCTCATTCATTTAACTTCACCATCAGGTGAAGGTCCGCATTTCGACACGCTCGAAAGAACTCGATCTAGTAATGTTTTGTGTGCCTTTTCCAATCCAGGCATATATTTTGTAAGCATGCTGCCAAATGCTATTTCAGTCTTTTTTGCATACGTTCCTTTCACAGTATTGTTTTTTAAGAAAAGCCTTTTACATCGGTGATAGAGTTCCATAATTCGGTATTCTTCTGGGTAATGTATTATATTAGGAATCGCTTCAATAAATAATCAGAATGCTCATTGAATAAATCTTTAAAGAACCTAAGTTTGTTCAATAAAATGTACTCACCAAATCACATGGTCAAGGATTATCGATTGACGCGTATAGCATCCAATTCATCCGCTGAATCTCGTTCCATAGAGCTAACAGCGCGTTTGACTGAATCGCCTGGGTGGATGTCAAGTTTTCGGAAACATTTAATTTCTTCCCAGATGAATGAAGTGACTGGATTAAATTGTTTCTTTTCGGAAAGGCTCATATGAAAACAGAAAGATAAGAGGTCATAGAAAACGAAAGGATTAGAAACGGACATGGTGCAGTGGCATTATTGGTCGCCATAGCTAATAGCAGAAAACCATCTTAAGAGGTGAGTAGAAAGAATAACGAAAAATGGAGAAAACCATACTCATTGGGGTGTTACTTGATTGCACGGGACCCGTTTCAGGGATGTTCAGCGAGGGCCCGTTTCCTACAGTGACCTCATGATGAAACAAATTGCAACGGACGCAATTCACGGACGACCTTTTTCACTCTACGGTTTACTCAACTTTGAATAGTGTAAAAAAGGTATTTGAATAGGGAGGACGTACTTGTTAACTGTTGTGCCATAGTCCCCGTTTCGAGAATCTCCCAGGAATAGGGTGCTGTGAGCAGAACTTCGGCATTTGACGGGACTCGAACCCTTATTTATGCGTTACAGGAGCCGTTCTCTTTATCCCTCACCTTCTTTGGGGCTTTAATGCCATATTGGTTCAGGGGCAATGTATCTAGAAAGCACAAGTGAGGGCTCGATTCTCTACAGAGACCGAAGCTTGGGCCACATTTTGCAATTTTTCTGAGAGTACACAGGCATTGGTTTGCAGTGTTCCCTGAAATAGGACTCTCCCAGGATTGACGAGTTATGGGCGAAACCTTAGTAGTTCTAATTTCAGTGCAAACCTAGGAGCATTTTCTTTGAACCAAAATTATGGCATCCAGTCCCGATTCGCAAAAAAAAATTTACGATGGCTTCTCTTGCAAAATTACTTCCGCTAACTTTCCCCTTCGTCGTATTCGACCTTTTCTTCCTACTCCTTCGTGTTATAGGTACTTCATGTTTACACAAGCCTCTATCGTCTTGTCGTATCAGTTTGACCCAGTGCCCTTTCCTTCATCTCCCCGTTTCTTTTGTTTTTTACGCTTTAATTCGCCTTGCTGGGTTTTGAGTGGTTCTTCCGAAAAGGCTCTTCCTCAAATTTTTTTGTAGAGCCTTTTTGGACCCAATTTTGAAGTCATGCTTCTACAGATAACTTAGAATTACGCCTCAACCGGAACTGAACAATTTTCACCAAAATAGGGCCTGACGCAGCCAAAAGCATCGAAGACAAGTTCTAGTTAGAAGGTAGGAGCCGCTGCGACTCCTGCACCAATTGTGCTGCCCTTACACCACCCTTATGATCCTGCAGTCATGTAGACCGGCCTTAGACCATATGCGACTTGTAGACCACCCTATTTACAGTGGTTAGATAACAGTGATTGTGTTACGCTGGCTTCTGATCGACCACGAAGTCTTTAGGAAAATTCATCCTTACGAATATCGTTTCGTCATAGTTCTTTTTGCTGAATCGGTTAGTCTAATGTGGGATAATCCTCCTTGTTGACTATTAAATCCAATGAAGATCAACTTTTTCGACTATTGACAAACTAGTTACGACCATGGAAACTCGTTCTTCCATTTCCCCAATCCGTCGTATTGGCTCTAGGTAAGCTTATGGTTCATTCCGACCGACACAATCGCGTTTTCGCCTGATTCAATTTCGCATTCTATTCGAGTTTGCATTTATTGAGTAGAAAAATATTTCCGACTCGTTCGTTTAGAGGTAAAGACCCAAGTTTAAAAGGTCCACTTCGGCCTACTTGGCCCGGATATTTCATCTGCATCTCTCGTTTCCCGAGGGTTACTACGTTCTTCTGAGATGGTCTTCAATCAGAAGTCATTAGGGATAATCTCAGTCGAGGAAGCGCTTCTCTCAAATAATGAAACTTGGGTAGAAGTGAGGCATTAACGGAAGTGCAACCTTTGTGCAGATGTTTATGAATGGGATTCTTATCACTTCAAAAGCTGAGCTGGTCCACGCCAACCCTTGGGCATTCGATCTTTGGTTTCACGTCAACTCGGTCACAATGGGAAAAGTATAATAGTTCCCACTGGGGAAGTATCCACTGAAGCTGGCATAGGCCTGGATCCCCTTTTTCGCTT